GTGTGTGTGTGTGTGTGTGTGTGTGTGTGTGTGTGTGTGTGTGTGTGCAAAATACACATTGTATTGCTGTTTTTTAAAATAAAATAATCCAGTTAGGAAATGTGTTTCTGTCAATCATCACCGGAACAGTATTTATCTAACCCCTACACTCAAGAGAGTAAAACAAAACTTAAAATGAAGCAGTTTACAGTAACAGGAGGTAACGTTAGCTATTTGGCATTTTCCAAGTACTTTATTCTTACCTGTCCTTCCCGGGAAAATTTAAAAGGTGGTTTGTGTTTAATAACACTTGTTGCAAGCCGCAGGAGTCCTGTAAGACCATCATCTTCTATGTTACCATCTTGATGATCAAGGATTTCCCTGCTATACAAAAAAAAATTAAGCTCTATATGTCCCATTAAGAATACATAAAATACAAACTTTAAAATAAAATTAACATCACCAAATCTTACCTTCGAATGCAGTCAGCGAGGTGTCTTGCTAGGGCATCTAAATCAAGCAGTGTTGTCTGAATTAAAAATAAAGGAAAATGGAATACCAATACAAAATAATCATACATTTTATACACTCTTGGTTGATTCACAAACCAAATTAAATAACCTTAGTTTGCAGCTAAGCTTTGATTTACTTGAGATGTGTGTTGCTGTGGGTGCTCCACTTTAGGTGAGCATGCACTCTGCACTTCCGATTGAAGATTTTTGGTAGCAAAGCCTGTTCAACTCATGCATGTACCCTATACATCCTCGTGCCCCATACCAAGGCTACATAACGCTGTGCAGGTGAACTGCTCTCAGTTCCTTCTCTACCACAAAGTCCCACAGAGGAAACTCCAAAGTAGAGGGGAAGGAGGGCGGGTAGTGGAGCACCCACAGGGACACACATTTTGAAGAAATCCAGTTACTGCACAAGATAAGTAACCTCTCCTTCTTAGAGTAGTGTCCCTGTGGATGCTCCACTTCAGGTGACTCCACAGCAGTAACCCACCTAAGGAGGTGGCAGGTTCAGAACAGAGTCCAGCACTGAAGAAAGAACTGCGATGCCTACTGCAGCATCCAATCTAGCAGCGTGAACCGACGCATAATGGCTGGGGGGAAAAATACACTGAGCTCCACGTTGCAACTTCGGACATTTCAACAACTGCAACATCTTTGAGTAGGGCTACAGACAGACTATGATCTAGTAGCATGCGCAGTTACTAGTAGGGGAGGCTGAGTATCAGTGAAAACACAGGAGGCAATAACGCACCCAGAGATCCATTTAGAAAATCTTTGTGTGTAACCTCCATTTTTGGAGGTTACATGCATCCTGTAGATTCCTTCCTGCTATTTAAAAGCACATTTTGTACTGCTAGTGAACATGACTCCTCCTGTCCTGAGAACCACTGAGGGACCAGGCGTGGAATTGCAGAACATTCAGGCCATGGTGAAGCGTCTGAAATGGATCCTGAGACAACAGTTGAGAATTGATTGGGAGCCGCCATAGAAGGCAAGAAGTGATTGTGATGAGGTAAGGAAACCAAACTTGTCTTGGCTAAGTTGGTGCAATCAAAGTTACACTGGCTTGGTCCTGATCGATCTTGTTGAGATCCTTTAAAAACAATGGAGTAGTGGATATGCAAAAAAAGATCCCTTGTCCATGTAATAAGAATGGCATCTCCTAGAGATTGGGAATTGAGTCCTCCTCTGGAAGTTCTCCTCTGCAGAATTTCCTGCACTTCATGTTGGCTCCAGTGGCAAAAAAATGAACCTCTGGAAATCTCCATGCTAGGAATATTTTGTTGAGGACTCGAAAGTCCAACTCCCATTTATAATTTAGGGGGGAAATGTCCGCTGGTCATCTGCCAAGATGTTTTGTATATCGGAAGGTAAGAAGCTGAAATGACTGACTGGATGGCTATGCACCAATTTCAAAGCTTTATCACTTTGGTGCAGAATAAGGGTGACACATACAAGCTACGTTGCCTATCATGATCTTGAGTGACTTGTTTTTGATTAGGGGAAGAGTGTAGCACCAAGCTTTTCTGACCACTCTTAACTCTAGCAGACTGATGTGCAAGCGTTGTTCTTGTGACCATTTGCCTTGGGCTGTGTGAGGACCCACATGTGCTCTCCATCCCAAGAGGGAAATGTACAATGTTATCATGACCATAGGGGGACTCTGCATAAATGGGATTTCTGCACAAACCTTTAAGAAGGATTCTTCCACCAGATGAGTGGCTGAAGGACCCAGCTGGGTACAGGCACCTCCTTGTTCAGACTGTGTTTGTTGGGTACACAAACTGTCCTGAGCCACCCCTGGAGACAGCAAAGATGTAACCTGGAGTTTTGTGTTACAAAAAACACAAACTGCCATAAGCACTAGCAGTTGCAGAGATGTCCTTACTGGAACTTGTAAACTGAGCTGAGTTTTTTGGATAAGGTTTTTCAGAGTGAGGAACCTGTCAGGAGGGAGATAAGCCCTGCCCATCACCGAATCCAAAAATGCTCCTATAAAAAGGATAGGGGTCAAGGTTGATTTCTCATTTATTTGTAGGCCTAAACTGTGGAACAGTGAAGTTGTTGTTGAACTGCTGACTGCACTTCCTGATGATATCAGCATTTGAGGAGCCACTCATCAAGGTAGGGAAACACTGTTTTCCAAGACGGTGGTGGTGGGCAGCTATGACCACCATGATTCTTGAGAAAAACCCGTGGGGCGGAAGGAAGGCTGAACAGTAGGACCCAGTACTGGTAGTGATTGTGATCAAATGTGAAATGGATGAATTGCAATGGGGAAGTAGGCATGTTTGAGGTCGAGAGTTGCAAACCAGTCCCTGGACTCTAGGGAGGAAATTATAGCTACCAGGGACATTGACTGCACTGCACCATTACGCAGGGAGGGGAGGGGGGAGCAATTGTCCAGCTTGCCGGGGGCAGAGGGAATAGCACTTTATGGCCAGGAGTGGGGGAGCGAGGCTCAAAAGCTGCTGCAAAAGGGGGAGTGGGTCAGTGTGGCAATGCTGACTCATCTCCAGTGACCGGAAGGGCTGGAAAGTTCAAAACAGGAAAGAAGCCCCTTTTCCCCAGACCAAGCAGAACTGCACCCACACTCCTTTCCCTTGAGGTGGCAAAAATACAAGATTTAGTCAGGACCTGTTGTGGGCTTTGCGCTAGCCGTTCCTTTATAGGGGAGCTGGGAAGGAATTTTTTCCTCACCACCAGATTTGGCTTAGGTGGAAAGGGAGGGGAGTTAGGCTATGATGTTGCAACTCATTATGTAAGTCTGGGGCAGATGTCCAGTGCAGGTACTCCATAGAGAAAATATACAGGGACTGGATAAATGACTCGGTAAAGGACTTAAAAAGGAGATGCTTGTTAAAGGAGTGAAGGGGGGGGGGTGTTTGGGGCTTCTATGACTGTTAAGGCAAAGGGCTAACCCCCTCTTCTTATACTCCACCTTAACCCTTGTTCGGGGGTGGGGGTCGGTGGTAAGGTCCCAGCAATGGGTTGGCTACGGGACCTGAATGGAAAAAGGAGGCGGCTGTCAGAAGGGTAGATATTGAATGAAAATGGCGATATCTGCCCTGTACACTTTTATCTGTCGGGTAGTCCCGGACACCTAATAATAAAGTTGCAGCCTGATTAAAACCATATCACGTGTCTCCTGCCCTTCTTTTGGTATAGTTGGACAATGTCCTGATTTTCAGATGTCTGACATACTTGTTCAATTGTCTGAAATCTAGTAAAGGCCTCCAACACCATTTTTCTTCAGTATCAGAAAATATTTTGAATAGAACTCTTTGCCTCTGTGTTGAGCTGGAACTGGTTCTACGGTCCCTAGACTTAGGAGCACTGTCATCTCCTGTCTCAGCAATTGATTGTGAGAGGGGTCCCTGAAGAGGGACGGGGAAGGGAGGTAGAAGGGCAGGATGCAGGTAAACTAGATAGTATAACCCAATGTAATGGCCTCCAATACCCATTTGTCTGATGTCATAGCCTCCCATGCTTGCTTCCATACAGCCAAGAAACTCTATTGAGTGACAAGCTTCATTAGGTCCTTGAATTGCCAAAAGTCATCAGTGGTGGCATTACCACCTCGATGATGAGGAACATCATAATGTGAAGCCTCATCACATAATGATGAGGAAGCAATATTTGTAAATGCGGTCACTTCCTTTTCTGTCCTTGCCTCTTGCTCCTCAAAGGTGTCCTCTCCTGATTCAGAGTGGAGGGAGAGATGGACAGTACCAGAGAATGAGGTCTTCTATGTTCCTTATGAGACTGAATCAGGGCCCCTCTAAATTGCTGGCAGTACATTGCCCAGGGGTCCCAATAAGGCCAATGAGGAGGATCGTAATTAAGGCTACGATTTAGTCACTGAGGTTGTGGAAGTCACGGAATTCATGACTTCCAGTGACCTCCATGACTTCAGCGGTCGGGAGCTGCAGGGTCCCCCGCCACTGGCAGGGGCCGGGAGCTGCAGGGTATCTCCACCGCCTCTAGCGGTCCCCACATCTCCCAGCCAGTGTGGGCAGTGGGGTACCCCACAGCTCCCGGCTCCCGCGGATGGTGGAGAACCCCTGAGCTCGTTTGCGGCGGTGGGGGAACCCCCGAGATCCCGGCCACCAGGGGAACCCCTGAGAGGCCGGCCGCCAGGGGCGGCAGGATGGAGGAATCCCCGAGATCCCAGGCAGTGGTGGCAGGGGAACCTCTAAGCTCCAGGTCCTAGCGGGCCTCAGGAGCTGCAGGCGGCAGGGGTACCCCGCAGCTTCCAGCCCCTGTGGGCGGTGGGAGAACCCCCGAGTGCCCCGCCACCGCAAGCCCCCCGAGCTGCGGGCAGTGAGGGTACCCCGCAGCTCCTGGCTGACACAGGAGCCAGGAGTATCCCACAGCTCCCAACCCCCATGGACAGCTGCAGGTGGCTCCTCGACCCTGCGCAGCTGCCCCACTTCAGGCGTATGGGGACCCACTGAGCCTCATTTTGTCCCTGATATGTTTAGTAAAAGTCACTGACAGGTCACGGCTTCTGTTAATTTTTCTTTTTTGCCTGTGCCCTTTCCGTGACTTTTACTAAAAATATCCATGACAAAATCTTAGCCTTAATCATAAGGCATAGTGCAAGGTATAGATCACTGGTCATCCCAAGTGTTAACAGGCAGAGGTCTGGTACCCTGCTTTTTTGCATCTGCAGAGGAGAATGTCTCCTGGAGTAAACTGAACAGACCTGAAGAGGAAGTCTTGCTCCAGTGTAGGCCCCTGTGCCTCTAATCAGAGATTTTAGGTAGCAGTGTCATTCGGCCCACATATGCGCTCGCTCTCCCTCCCTCGTGGTGTGCCTTGAGATTACCTAGCACTAAATGGGGGTGAATCACCATTTCCTTCTCTACTGCAGAGTCCCATCTTGAGAACTCTGAAGTAGAGAGGAAGAGGATGGGTTGTGGAGTACCCATAGGGATACATATCTCGAAGAACCATCGTTACTGTACAAGTTGAGTAACTTCCTCCTCTTCAAGTAGTGTCTCTATAAGTG